CTAGGCCCTCGGCGGCGCGCGCCAAGGGCACGTGGCCCGGGGCGGCCGTTCGTTGCCCGCGTCGCGTCGCGTCGCCTCGCGCGCCAGGTCGCCACGCGGGCGGCGCCAGATGCCCCGCTGCCTTAAAGGCTCTTCCGCCGCAGACACGTACGGCCACCCCCGGCGCCCTCGACACCTCTCGCGCCCACGCGGTGCCGATCCCCGCGAAGCCTCATACATGCGCCCGCGCTGCTTTTCGTAAGGACATGGTAGGCGAATGAAGCGCAGCCACACCGGCACGTACGATATTAGCATAATTCAAAATGTCAAAAATTCCAATTACAATAGAAACACTACGCAAGATTCTTAGCCGTGAATTTCTTACACCAAAAATACAGCGGAGTAAATATTTTCTTTTCCAATATTCGCGTAAATTGACAAGAGGAACTGAAGAATGTTCTCATTTAAAGCGACTTTTCTTGGAGGTAGAAATCTACCACTTCTTGAGAGGAATGACGATTTATTGTGACAAATAACTCGCAATTCACTCCGCATTTCAGATAAAGAAAGAAAGACTGAAACGTTCGCACGTTTCATTTGGAGGTGTTCTTGTTAGTTATGTGTATCGATAGCCTGCTTAAAAAAATGCATTTTTTAAACCGTATGTTTTTACGAAAAACCACATAACACAGACATCACAGATTTGTTTCTTCTTCTTCTTCTTCTTCTTCTTCTTCTTCTTCTTCTTCTTCTTCTTCTTCTTCAGAAATTAACGTTAGGTGCAAAACAATAAACTTGAATAGTTATTACTAATAAATACTTCTTGATTTTCGCAAGTAAAAGGTTGTATTGCAGAATGTTTATTACTGTTACTCTACTACTTTTTAGAGCATCGGTACTATTTTTTGTATCCAATAGGGGGAAAAGTGGGGGATATGCCGCTCTTATTTTTTCTTTCTTGAAATAGCATAGATAAATCAGTACTTATAATACACTATACATACGTAGTGAAAGCTTACATTATAATTTACCTAAAAATAACGAACGTACATACAATTTGGATGAGGAAATCTTTTGCAGACACCTCTAAAAACAAACTAAAATTAGGGGAAATGTCTCTCTAGCCGCACCTGCTGCCGGAGATAGCGCGTGGCCGAAGAGGGAGCGCCCGCAGCCCGCGTGGCGCGCGCGCGCGGCGGGTGGCGGCGCGGCAGGCGCAGCGGGCGGCGGCTCCCCACCGCGCACCCAGCCCTCCGCCGCCATTTTGGCGCGATCGTTCGCCACGCTCTCGCCTCTTCTTTCTTTACTCATCGCTCGGTTCTTTGTTTTCTTACTCTTTTTATTCGTTTCATTTTAAACATATTTCTGTGTTGTTTATTGTCCTACATCACTTTTCTCTTATTTATGTATTCCTTAATTTCACCCTACGATTCATGAGACTATTTCGAGTCCTGGGTGGGGCAAATGGTGAGCTATTTAATCTGTAATATAAAATTGTCATACCAGAATCCGACAGTCAATTTGTATTCTTCCTACAACAAATTTAACCGACTGTAAATCATCCTAAACACGAATTCAATAACCAATGCCAAGTTTACTTTTTATTCTCATCTTCAAAATCTGAAGATGTTTTGAAAGCAAAAATTTATAAAAATGTACACTTTTAAAGAATGATTCGTCAATACTCCTTATCTCGCTATCAAAGTGTTAATATACATTTACGTTCTTTGTTTCTAACTCACTTTATGTGTGAATTTTGTGTTCAAAACATATTCAACCCAACACAAAAATTGGCATTTAAATAATTACAGACGTAATGCGATACTTATTAACACCAGGTGTTGAACTTACATATCATTTATTTGCATTGCGAGGTTAGTTTAACATAATTTTGATTCAATTATCTTTCTGAGATGTTTAGTAGTATTTCAGTGTTTTTCAGGATGATAAAGTAAATTGTCCTATTTTTTCCAAATCATAAAATGATAATTAACTAAATAAGTTTATCGAAGTTGAATTTTCTCTGGCTGAAATCTTGTATCAGTATTTGTGATAATTATGAAAATGTAACAGAATTATGTACTATCATAACTTATTACTAGAAAGAACAATTATGAAATTTGACATACATTGCAAAGCCCAAACACAATTTCAGCAGTTTATTTTACCGTATTAAACAATACATATTTCTACTTTCCCTTAAAGTATTATTATAAACAAGTTTTTTTGTTTTATACTATTGTACAGCTTACATACCTCCCTGTGTGTCCGCCATTGTTGACTAATGACAATTACGTAAGTGCGTACCCGTGCTACATTTTAGCAGCGCTATAGATCTGCCTTTTATGTCGCAGTGCTATGGAACTGCCTTTAACCTAACAGATTATTCTACCAAACTATGACCATTCTATTCATGAAAACACCAATAACTTTCAACAACACGTAGTGTGTCAGGCTGGTACAAAAATATTGCTTTTCGTACTCAATTATTCATTCAACTTCTATCCTCTGGTCTATCATAAGCTGAAATACAACAATCAGAAGAGCACTTAAAGCACATGTTTCATTAATATAATTAATATTTGGCCCATCCTTAAACTCTTCTGAAAGTAATTTCATTCGTGGAGTAGTCTAATGAAGTACCTTTAGTGAAATGGACATTTTTCAGATAATATTCCGTTTTAGATAAATATATTCTTGTTTGAATTGTGCATGGTAGGTAGAGCTGTGTGTGAAGGTGTGTGTGCGTTGGTGCGCAGGTGGAGATGACGGGCAGCAGCATGTTCGACTACGTGCACCACCAGGACCACGCGGAGCTGGCGGAGCAGCTGGGGCTGGGGCTGGCGCAGGGCCAGGCGCTGGCGTCGCCCGGCGGCGCGGGCTCCGACGAGGGCTCGGCCGCCGCCTCGGGCACCAACAACCCCGACGGTGAGGCGCGCGCTCGGCCTCTCACACACGCACACACTCGCAATCACTCACACTCACTCACACTCACTCACTCACACTCACTCACACTCACACGCACGCACTGACACTCATTTACACTCACATTCACACACACGCACTCACACTCACTCACACACACACTCTCACTCACTCACGCTCACACTCACATTCACTCACACGCACTCACACTCACTCACGCTCACACTCACACTCACTCACGCTCACACTCACACTCACTCACGCTCACACTCACATTCACTTACACTCACTCACGCTCACACTCACATTCACTCACACGTACTCACACTCACTCACGCTCACACTCACATTCACTCACACTCACTCACGCTCACACTCACATTCACTCACACGCACTCACACTCACTCTCGCTCACACTCACATTCACTCACTCACACTCATACTCATTCACACTCACACTCTTTCACACTTCCACTCACGCGCGCGCACACACACACACGTACTTTCACACACTTACGCACACACCACTTACACTGACACACTCTCGTGCACACCATCAGTCTCACACTCACACTCACATACTCACTACTCACACTTACACATACACTCACACACTTATGCACACATGCGCATACTCCAACACTACTGATAAACACTCACACTCTCCTACAAACTCACACACTCGCTCACACACGCACAAACAATGCTACAAGCACAATCACTTGTCTTGACACTAACAAATATACGGATCGAAGAAAAACTTCCTTGCCAACTTTTTAGTGTCGATAAACAATAATATACGATGTGATAGAGTAAACAATTACAAAATCAGAATTCGAGAAGTGCTAAATATATCATAAAAAGTCTTCTGCAAAGAATCCTAGCCGTTTTACGGAAAAATAAATTTAAATGCCACGCCAATTCATAGTAATTATGTTTGAGATTCACCGCCAGGAATGAACATTTACATTTGTCCCTTCTACCCGTCGAAGTATACTTTTTTGAGAGATGGTGATATTAAAGTAGTTATGCGCGTATAATTTTTTATTCATAGCAACAATAACGGTCGTCTTTCAATTTCAAAATAGTATTCATGTTCGTCTCCCATCTCAAAAAAATTGAATTCATCTTCTCTGCTACATTCTAATAATTTAGAGATGAATTTTTCCGCACTCTGTGGAAAATATATTTAATATTCAATGGTGTTTATGTTTCTTGTGTCGTGGTAGAAGTGGAATAAACATGAGCAAGCATATATTAATACCAATGCTATACAAGAATAAAAAACAACACATAAAATATCGAAGCTTTAAGAAATATGTCTCAATGAACTCAAGAGATCAAGGTCTTTAATTGGTTAGAAATGCAGGACTTTTTATTCCGAGTAAAAGCTATAGAGACATAAGTGTTAATTATATTCTTGTGTTAATTCATTATAAAATGTGACGCAAGATGATACTCAGTATTTCGATAGATTGTAAAAGTCTATAGTGGGCTGGCCGTACTTGCGCTGCTGGCACGAATCAATGAGAAAGCGCGTTGCTCGGAATTGTCGCAGGCGCGTGACTGGAGACTCGTGTTTTACCGCCGAAACGCGCGTCATCGGGATTCAGCGAAGGCGCCGCGCGCAGTGCGCAAGCGAACGCGTCGCCGGCCAAGGCGCGCGCCGTCGGCCCCCGCCCCCTGCCACTGGGGCATGGGGGCGCCACCTCGCCCCACTCACTCTAGGCACCGCCATACAACACGAAGAGCTCACGCCTCCTCCAAAAAGAAATATGTTCAATGGGCCCTTGATCCTACTTAACTATTTAAGTGAGGATAGGTAGATTTGAATATAAATTTATTGAGGTGGCTTTCCCGAGGCAAAGAGCTCTATGCTCCTCTGTGCGTTAATCTCATCATGTTAACCTTAAAAATGAATCAAACGATTTACTTTTGTCAGTTACAATTGAAAAATAGAGTAATTTAATATCACAAATGTTTAAAGAGTCAATGGAAGGCCTAATGCGACACTTGAGTTAAGATAGTCCTGCAGTATTTGGGATACTCCAAAACAATGCCTTGCTTTCATACTCTCATACTCTGGTTTAAACCGGACATTTATTGGCTACATAATTTAGCAATTACAATTTAATGTCTATGAATTTAACGAAGTACTCACGGTACTCTCACAACTCTGTAATTTTGCATACATTACCCATCTACTGGTATTACACAAAACAACTTTCTAAAGACTTGTCGAATCTTATTACGTACAGTACAGTTAAAAACCTTCATTTTCCGTTACGTTGGTTAGGTTGGCTATCTTTAATCGTACTATTTAGTTCGTCTCGAGCCCCCGTTGCACGTTGAGACTACTAAACCAATCCCAAGCCATCACGTTGCCCCGCTTAAAGAAAGCGAAGAACGCCTCTGCGAATGTGTCGCGCGCCGGCTAGCGGTGCCGCCAGGGCGAATGTGGGACGCGCTGTCTTCGGGCAGCGACCGCGTCGCTTCCGCCGCCGCCACCTCCACCGCCACCGCTGCCACCACCAACACCACTACCACCACCGCCGCTTCCACCAACGCTGCAACCACCGTCTAGCGACCACCGCCGCCGCCACC